TTAGGCTGTCATATTGTCATTTTATTTTTACATTTATTACCTAATTCACATTCTAAAAAAACTGAAGAAGAAACAGATATCAATAAGTAAATTATTTTATTAAATTATTACAAGAATTAAATTTATATTAGAAATAAGTGTTTAATAAAATATATAAATGTATGTGTTTATGACACTGGTCTAATTATTGTCATGTCCCTCCCCACCCAAAAAAAAAAAAAAATTCTAGCCCCAAAAAAATTCAGAGCACGTCAATCAAAGATGTATTACAGGCCTCACAGGTTAAAAATTGCAATCTCCCAACTACAAAATTCAAATTGCTCATAACTGTTGAATTTAAATTAATTTTAAATTTCAGTTATTTATATTTTACTTGTATATACTCCGTGCCACGAGAGAAGGAACCCGTGTCCCGACCAAATAGCAACCGACTCCGCGCATCCCCCACTTATTTGACATATCGAAAGCGCGAACTGTAGAGGATAAAGTGGGGGAAATAGAGCTTAGTAACGCTAGCTGCCGTCAGTCTGCATGCGCGAAACGGGTTCCTTMTCTCGTGGCACGGAGTATAATTAATAGTTAGGTACATATTATACAGTTATTTATTAATTTAAAATTAGGATATAGGCAAATAGCAAATTATTAATTGTTTAATACATTTACGATAAAATATTATTTAGGTACCTCGTAGGAACCTACGTAGAAGCTAGCACCTACTAATACATTTTATAATTTAACTTTAGATACAGTGAAATAGTGAATATGATTATTGAATCAAATTAATTCATCGCATGACTTCTAAGAAACAAAGTTTTATTTCTTGAATGCAATGCAGTAATTTGAAATCCATTTGAAAATTTCATTGCATGTATATAATATATAACAATATAAGTACCTAAAAGTTTCATAAATCTACAAATAATATTTTTAAATTACAACAAAAAAACTATTCTTGGCTTAATACGTAATTTCGTCCAAATTTTAATTTAAAAGGTCTGTAAAAAATTATTATGTTCATATATTTCCAAGTCTACTCAAAGCCAACTCTGGCCCATTTTAGGATCCGTTGTTGGTCATATATTTGTTTTTGTTATTGGGCTGTACCATAGTTTTGAGAAAAAACCCAATGATGTCTKCCAATATCTACAAGAATTTGTTGATGACACCAAAGATGTTGTGTCATATGGTATCGAATTTGACGGCAAAGTATTTGAGTGTATTATTAAATCATTTATAGCTGACACACCAGCAAAAGCGTTCTGTCYTCAAATAAAAAATCACACCGGGTACTTTTCATGTACAAAATATAAAACGGAAGGAGAGTTMATTACTAGAATGTGTTTCCTTGATATCAATGCACCATGAAGAATTTGTCCTAGGTTCAGACGAATCTTACCATACAGGAATTATTCCACTCACAGCAATACCCAAGTTTTCGTTTGTTTACAATATTCCTAGTGACTACATGCATTTAGTTCTTTTAGGAACAATGAAGAAATTAATAGCCTTTTGGATAAAACACGGAGGTCCTTTAAATGTACGCATGCGATCAAAAATAGTCGAAGATGTATCAAAAATATTAATTGAAAACATACGACCTGTAGTGCCTAGCGAATTTCAAAGAAAACCACGTGCATTGAATCATTTTTCTCAGTGGAAAGCAGTAGATTTCAGAATGTTTTTGTTGTATACTGGTGTTGGAGTATTAAAGAACAAAGTTCAGCCAGATGTGTACAACCATTTCATTACATTACATGTTGCTATATCATTATTGAGTGTAAAAGATCAAACTTCTGAAAATATTGATTATTCTGAAAAGCTTTTACTTCATTTTGTAAAAAGCTTTGGCACAATTTATGGTTTAAAATATATAAGCCATAATATTCATGGACTTATTCATTTGTCAGAAGATGTTAGAAACCATGGAGCACTTGACAATTTTTCTGCTTTTAAATTTGAAAAACTTTATGCAACAATTTCTTAAGATGTTACGTAAAGATGAAAAACCTCTTCAACAAATAATAAAAAGATACAATGAGTTAGTAATCAAACCAGGTCAACAATCTAATTATTGTGATAACTATTTAGATTATCCAAAAGTGTTAACTTCTCAACGAAATGCTGATAAATTTACAAAAATTAAATTTCAACACTATACAATTTCTACATTAAATAAACGAGATAACGGATGTCTAACAAAGAATGGTGAAATTGTTATAGTTAAAAAAATTAAATATACCTAATATAGAAAATAACTGTTATTTTATTGTATGTAATGTTTTCTTAAGAAAAAATGATTTGTATGTTACACCATGCAAATCGTCGTATTTGGGTATATTTAGTGTAAGCAAATTATCTAAAAGTTCTAATTCTTGGCCAATAGATTATATTGATAAAAAAATGTTTATATATGAAATATCATCTATCACTTTAAGTTATGCAGCATTTCCAATGTTGTAAATTTAATTTGTTTATAATATGTAAATATAATGAATTATATAATTATAATTATAAAATAATTGTTTTATTTTATAATATTATAATAATAATATTATTTTGGAAAATTGAACTGTTTATTCTGATTTACAACCCTATTACTAGGTGTAGTGGCCATAGTTGCTAAACCTTTTTATTATAATAAAATTTAAGTATTGATGTAACAAAATATACTAAAAAAGTAATTATTACCTCGATTTCAGGGGATGAGTAAGTAAAATAACATCTAACCATTCCTAAAAGAAATATTTGGGGTACCAATAATAAGAGCTTTATAGTGCTCTACAGTTTTTCAGTATATAACAGCTCTACCTTCTCTAATTTGGCTTGAAGTCCATTATAGTGTACCGGTGGGATAACATTTATTTTAAAAGGGAATCCTGTAGTTTCTCTCTTGAACTCCTGATTTGGAGTCCTTTTTAGGATATTGGTAGGATAATATCCTAAAAGTCCCAGTGTTACGAGGGAATCTACCAGTACTCCTGTTGGGCTCCCTTATAGGAATCCTTTATGGGACATTGGTAGGATAATCCCACTGGAGTCCTGGCGGTAAAAGGGAATCCACTAGTACTCCYGTTGGGGTCCCTTTTAGGAGTCCTTTATAGGACAATGATAGGATAATCCCACTGGASTCCGGGTGATGTGAGGGAAAACATAAAATATCACAGATATAGATAATAAAATGGATAAAGTGTATTATCTATCATGGTTCAGCATTGCAGTATTGAAATATCAGCTTATATCTTAAACCCCGCTGTGTACAATATTATAATATGTGATTAATGATTATATCTAATTCCGTGTACTATACAAACTAGATATTATCATGGTATTTACTATTTCTTTTTGCGTATATCACGATTTAAGATATACCTAATTATTAAATCGTGTCTACAATCATGTTTTGGTATACCAGCTGGTATATGAATATCTATGATAATATAAGGTATTATGAATTATGAAAATTACATGCAATGTTTTTGGAAAAATTGATTAACCATTCCTTATGTAAAATGCGTCCTAATTGAAAAATAAAATATTTGTTTCAAAATAGAATATATGACAATATTTAAATATAATATATCCTAGACTGACAAATCATCTCCGTTCAGAATC